GGGAGACTCAAAGGCACTTGCACCCCAGGAAAGCCCTCAGCCATACCTCCTGGAAGATACGGCTACAAGGATGGTATAGATGTCAGGATGACAGAACCAGTGTGAAAACTCCAGAAAACACTGAAGGACCCGATTTTACCAGTACATCTGCCTGTCAAACCTGGAAGCCAAAAATCTCGACTTCCACATGAACCAACTCCCACGGCAGATCTAAAGGGAGTCTCTTGCACTGCATGTTTGAGTTCCCTTGTGGCAGGAAGAGAAACGCAGAGGGTGTTGAAGCACCAATCCCTGGGCTTTCTGGATGTGGAGAAGAAACGTGGTCACAATATGATTGTGCGTGACAGAAAGGGAACACAAAAAACATCTAATACACCACTTACTGCATTAATCAACTGTTGTGTCCTTAATGAGTCATTAGCAAGCAGTATGAAAAATGGTGCCAAGCGTTAGGAATTTCTGTTTGATGAAGCAGAAGCAGGATCAGCACAGTTTTTCTAAACAGAAGAGAGAGCATCTCCTTACAGTTTACCTTTCCTTCTTGAACACCCAAAAGGCAAAACAAAAATCTGGGCAAAACATCCTCTTTTATCAGCTATAGAACCTCTCACTGCAACATTAGGACTGCACTAAACTACAACATTGTAGTAGTTTGCACAAACAAAAAGCTTGTCATCTGCATTACCTCAAACTTCATCCTCCATGAGATCCTGATAAAAGCTCCAGAGAAAAGGGCTAGAGACAGTAAACAACAATTTTATATGACTAATCCAGTATAATCCTATGCTAGGTAAAAAAGACCATCTGCATGAATTCCCACTGAAGTGCTTTAATAACAGCACAGCAAGGCTCTGGCTGTTGTGCTGAGGAAATGCTCTTTTGCACTCAGGCTAATAATTCCAAAAGATTACCTCCTTTTTCTTCCCCAACCCCCTCTGTTTTTATTAAAGCTGCTAGTCACTTGCTCTCCCATTTAATTCCCTATTAAGAGATCATGCATCAAACCCGTGAAGTGACAAGGATCCACACTGGAAGACGTATCTTGCCACAGTGCAGCAGCCCAGAGGGGTTTACCTCTGCGTTGCCAGTTGCTCTGCTTCCACTCCTGCAACCACCCCCCAGTCACGAGCCCATCTGTATGCTGCATCTCTGCCCTGATGGCCTGAAGTGTCATGGGCCCACCAGGCCAAAAATAACTCACCCTTATGTTGCCAATCTAAGTCCATCTGAGCCACTTCAATCTTAGCCGCTTTATCCACTTGTTGGTTGTTCTGGTGCAAGAACTATAATAAAACAAACGGCGTCCTACTGCTAGAGAGAGATGATGCAGGAGGACCAAAAGATTTTCCCAGAAGCTGGTGCATGGTAGGGGCTGTGATATACCCCTCAACGCCATGCTCTTTGGCCCAAGTGTCTATAAGGTTGTTCTGGAAATGTGTCCCAATGTCTGACTCAGTTCTCTCTGGGGTGCTGTGTCACCACACATGATGGCCAGCGAGCTAGAGAGGTCACCCTCCCTCTGCAAAAACTACAACCAATTTCATTGTTATTACTGCAGTGTGCAATTGCTGTTGAAGAAGAGAATTGAAAGTTGTTGGCTGAGGCAATAATTAAAGCCCTTGCAGCAGCAGCAGCAGCAGCTTTGCCCCTGAGTGACCCTGCTTTCTGCAGCATGGACCAAGCAGACGGCGATGGGGATCTCTGGGTGGCAAGCAGAGCAGCCACACTGACGAAACACTGCATAGTGGTTCAGGACAGGAAGCAAAGGAGAGTATCACCTCCAACTGAGCCACACTTAAGTCAATAAGGGCTTCACACCCTGGGAGAGAAGGAAATCCATGACTACATTCTGTTTTCTGATCTGAGGTCAGAGGGAACAGGGCTTCCACTCCACTGAGCATTCGCTGTCTCAGGGAAGGAAGTCTGACCTCAACACAAATCTGATCAGGGCTCAGAGGAATCAGACAAAGCACCCAAGAAACACTAGTATTTCAAGTTCATCCGGGACAGGACTACTCCAAGTGGATGAGATTAAACACTTGGCGTGTGTGTAGGTTATGAAAGGTGTGTGAGAGGCACTGGCTAGCATTTAGTGTTATGAAAGATCAGAAGTTATGAAAGACCTTGCCAGTTACGAAAGATGAATGAGAGTCTAATCCAGCAAGGCAGAGAGCAGCCTCAGCCTGCTTGGAGGTGAACAAAATCACCCAGCAGCTCACAGGAGGAAGCTCCTGGAAGGTCTAGGTTAAGGAAGGCTTGAAAAACTACAGAACAGTAATAAGAAAGCTGTCAGAGACTTGTAGAATGATGAAGAGAAACACTGACATCTGTTTATAGGCCTTACAGGCAGCTGTATTTTGAAGGGTCTAGCTGCAGCCCCTGATTTTCTAAGAAGTATTCTTTCCTGGCCTTTTAGCCCTGTTTAAAATCTTCTACCTGCATAAGCCACACAGCTGGAAGGAATCTGTAAAAAACCAAGAGTTCACTGAGTTGGTATTTTAGCCTTAGCCTGACATTAGTTCAGCCTTTGGTGATCCTTTTACTAATATTCTATCACCAGAATGAAGAGAAGGGTGGGGAAATTCTACTGAGACAGATGGAGTCACTTATTTTCCAAATGCCACAGAGGACATACTCCTGCTTAGAAAAATATTGAGGAGAGCACCTCCCCCCCTTTGTAACAGTATTCCTCTGTGACAATTATTTTGTACAGTTACGTTCAGTGAGGATATTTCTGCATCCTGCCCTCTGCCCTATCATTTACACTGCGCTGTTTTTAAAACACGAGTTAAACAGACCTTTCTAATGCTCCTGTGGCAGTCTAATCACAACAAAACTCTAGGCATTGCAGCAGCCCTGAGACACATGGGAGGAAACCATCTGCTCTACATCAGAATAGTATCTATTTGGTTTCAGCAAAACGTATAACCCGTTTTAGTGTTGGCCCATTCAGTAACTAAAACTTCATCTTTCAAGGAAAAACACAGAAAACACTTTCATCATGGTCTTGAGATGCTTCCTAGAATGCAAAGCCCTTATTAGCTGTAGATTTTCTTATTTACCAAAGTTAGAGCTCTTATTACGACATCTCACCAGCACACGTTTACTCATCTGCCCCAGCACAGGAACTCTCTAGGGAAGGTCCTGAAGTCACCTCAAGCTATGCTGAGTATTGCACCAATTAAAAAAAAAAAACACAAATTTCCAAAACCAGGAAGAAACTGAGATTCAAGAAGAATACAGAGCAATTCCCGTACTATTCCAAATCACATTACATGTTTCTAGGGTTGTTGCACTTAATGAAACTAATCATACATGAGGACAGAGGAGATATGTGGGTGGAAGAAACAAGTTGCTTAGAAACAAAACAGCAGAAATACTGACAAAGAGTTGGCGAGGATTTCTTCAAATAAAAATTCACCATTTAATACCTTAAACAAACTTTTAAACTTTGGGTATTAGTTAATTCACCTTTCATTACTGGTTTTTTTTTCTGATTTGAAATGGGGACTAGAAAATGTTTTGCTAAGTAGACTGCCAGCCTTGCTGTCTTTGTGGCATCCAGTGCCACAGTGCAGCTCAGGAATTTAACAAATTAGCTGGATCCTTGCACTACAAACTATGAAGTTTTGTCACTTATTTTAGAAGGAAAAGGTTCAAGCCTTTTATTTTCAACAAAGCGTCTACTATTTTTGTGAACTACATATGGCAGCGGTGTTACATCCCTCTCATCCCCAAATCAGCTGTGTCCTAGAACATAAACAATAAAAGAAAATAGATCTAGACTTAGGGTCTGTTAGGTTAGATGGGATACCCAAGCCAATTAAACTTAGCCTAGTCCCTAGGAAACTGTTAATTTTGTATTCACAGCAGAGATGGCAAGTAGTGGTGTTACATGATTTCCTTAATGCAGATCTGGTAACCACTAAAGCATCTCTATCCTAGCTCAGAGAGGTCACCGCAAATGAAACCCTCACCCACACAGCAGGTGCTGAAAGACAATAATAAATTTCAATACTCAGTGTATGTACCATGTTTTCCAAAAAAGCTACGCTAGCTGACTCCGCCCCTGGACTCTCTTTTGCTCCAATCAATGCCAAGGGGGCACCAGAACAAGTCGTTTGGAAAAGCCTCACTTCGGTAGATACACGGTGTGTTCCAAGTACAGGCTGGTTACTCTGTGGTGTAAGCACATAAGCATGTACTTAGCGTAGGCCACCTTTTTCCTACAAGGGGGATGTAGAATCGCTCAGCTGTCCCCCCCAAGTCTCCCGCTCCGCTGGCTCAAACACATGGTAATTTAGTTAGCCCTTACAGTTTCTGGAACAATCGCTTCTTAATTCTCCTCATCCTTGACAAATCCAAAATGACATACAAAGCCAAGCGAAAAGCCTAAGGGACAATGTATTTGTTACCATACCAATTCCCAAGCACTAAGAAGATGCTGAAATTAAAGAACTGAACTCCCTTTCCACCCCCGAAGCCACATTCTTGAAATGGCCGATGCTAGCCGCCGGCTTTCCCCCAAAGCCCCGGTAACGCTGACGGCCGGCCTCCCGTTCCCGGGATCGCCCTTCGCTCTCGACCGTGGCTCCCGGCAGACCGCTCCCACGGCTGGGCCCTTGAGAGAACGGCGGCTCCATATCTCGGAAGAAACAACACCACCACCTTAGCTCCGGGCTGGGGGCACGGCCCTGCCGGTGGTCATCGCCCCGGCGCCACATCAGGCGGGGCGGCCGAGCCACGGCCACGGCGATGGCGGCGGCGCGGGGTGGGCCGTGCCGGGCCGGCGGCCTCCCCGCCACATCCTGCCGTTCGCGGCGCGGCTTCGGCGCTCCTCTCCGTGGCACCCCCACCACCACCTCTCCCGGCCCTTCTCCGCCCCGGGGCTCACCTACACTCAGCGCCCAGCCGCAGCCAGACGCCGCGCCGCAGCCCCCCTTCCCCATTGACCGTGGCGCCCGCCGGGCCGCCTCCCCCCGCCCCGCTCCCATCGGCGGGGCGGCGCCGGGCTGCGGAGTGACAGCCACGGGGAATCGGGCGGGCGACCGGTGGTGTGCGCGCCGGGCACCCTCCTCCGCGGTGCTCCTCGACGGGGAGCCAAGCCCCCCACGCCCCTGGCCCCGCTCCGGGCAGCGGAGCCGCCGCCGCTGCTATGAAGCCGTGCGAGGAGGAGGAGGATGAAGGGGGGGCGGCCGGCGGCGGGGACCCCTGGAAGGAGTGCGTTGAGGTGGCGGTGCAGTTGGCGCTCCGCGCCGGGCAGGTAAGAATCGAGCAGCCGCCCCCCCTGCTCCGCTCCTGGACGCTGCCCGGCAGCGAGACGGTCGGACTGCCCCGCGGCTGGAGCATCCTTCTCCCGAGCGTACCGGGTGCGCTTCTAAATCTCGGGGGGAGGAGGAAGAGCTGGGCAGTTTCAGAAGGGCCTTGTGGGCACTTGGCTGGTGTGGCAGAATTGAGGAGGAGGAGGGCGACTGGGCTCGGCACCCACTAAACCAGGCCGTCGCCGGAGCCATCGGCCGCTGCTCTCTGCAGCGGGAGGGATGATGGCAGCGGGGCCGCTTCCCGGGGAGGGCTGCATCCCTGAGGATCCCTTTCCTCGCAGGCTCCGTCCCTCGGGGCTGCATTGTTCGGGGTCACTTCCCTCGGGACCTGCATCCCTCCGGGTCACTTCCTGGGGGCTGCATCCCTCACGGTCCCCTTCCTCGGAGCTGCATCCCTCGGGGTCACTTCCCTGGGGGCTGCATCCTTCGGGGTCATTTCCCTTGGCAGCTGCATCGCTCGGAGCAACTTCCCTTGGGGGCTGCATGCAGCATAAGAAGGAGGAGACGCTTACGGTGAAAGTAGATCTATTTTGTGACTGGGAGTATTTTCAGACAGTATTTATGTTTAACTAAAAAAAAAAAATAAGGTGGAAAGAGTAAGTTGCTTTAGTAACGTCTTCAAATACACACCAAGTATTTATTCTGCTACCATAATGCTTTGGAGCACGCTCTGATGCTAAGGTTGAATTTATGTACACCTAAAGGTTTATGCTGGGGTACTTTTGTCCAGAATATTGTCTCTATACACATTACAGTACCAGCATTTGTTTATAAGCAGCATGTGCAGGGGAAAACAGATGTGTCAGGGAGATTTTCCCTTGTTATATATACCAGTGTCTTCAGACTGCCTGAAATTCACTTACTAGGGACAAATTAGCAAGTGAAGATCTATGGTAGCTTATTTAAGATCTGCGTTTCGACACAGCAGGTGGTTAGTCATCTTAAGAGACGACATCCTGGCCCCACTGTGTGCAGCAGTAAAACTTCCACCAGCTCTAACAGAGCCAAGAAGTGGGATCAGCAGATTGTTCAGATGAGAAATTGGGTAAAATACAAACCTAAGCAACATCTATTTATCTTCTGTTTCTGTTCTGCTCTCTTTTGAAACATGATTTGTACCTGTACACTACGATTTAAGGAGCCCCCATTTCCATCTTGAGTCCAGGACCTGTAACTTCTCTTTAATATATGTTATTAAATGTAATTTTTCCCTAGTAGAAGGTACACACAAAGATGAACAGAATGCCAGAGCAGAGGAGGCTTGTTTTAATAAATAAATGGGTAATCCAAATTGGGATGACAGGTCATGCTCTCACAGACTCTCCAAACAGGAGTTTCTCCAGCACGGTCAGTCTGCCAACCATTTCACAAGAGAGACTCATGACTTGCTCAAGGCTCCACACCTTATTTCTCAAAATACCAATTTGTGAAGACAGCTGTAGCTGCCTCCAGCCATTTTAATCACACAGAAGATCACAGCTGAGCACTTTTCCTGAAAGAAGTAAACATTCCTGAAGATTACTCCTTGCATCTTTTAGTTTGCAGTTTGCCATCATTACCTTGCAACTGCCAGGAAACAGCCAATTCCTTGGCAGGCCAAATTTAAACCAGTCAAGAATGATGTTTAAGTAGGACTTTGAAACTGGGTAGGGGTTTTATTAACTGTTGTGTCAAGGAATCTTTTTAATTACAAAACCCATCAGAGATCCTTATGGAAGAAAAGGTGCAGATGGGGCTCTATCTTTTATTTAAGTGTCAATCCACTTCCAGCTATTCCCCAAAGAAACTAGAGGTAAAGACACAAAATGCAGTGTAACATAGGTTTGATAGAATGAGGGTTTTGTTGAAAATTGAGTGATAAAATGGAGTTTTATTTTTGTCAGCAAAAATAGTCAATTACAATGATCAAGTTAATCTTTTTCTTTTGCCTTTCTTCCCATCCATCAGACCTCTTCACCTTCATGTCCATCCCCAGCAATCTGCTTGCACTCTATGTCTCCCCAGATAATAGAATCATAGAACGTTTTGGGTTGGAAAGACCACATAGTTCCAACTCCCCGCCACAGGCAGGGACACCTTCCACTAGACCAGGTTGCTCAAAGCCTCATGCAATCTGGCCTGAACACTGCCAGGGATGGGGCAGCCACAGCTTCTCTGGGCAACCTGAGAACCTCACCACCTTCACAGTAAAGAACTTCTTCTTAATACCTAATCTAAATCTACCGTCTTTTCAGTTTAAACCCATTACTCCTTGTCCAATTCCTACATACCCTTTTAAAAAGTCCCTCTTCAAATTTTTTATAGGCCCCCTTTAGTACTGGAAGCTGCTCTAAGGTCTCCTCAGAGTCTTTTCCAGACTGAACAAGCCCAACTCTCTCAGCCTCTTTCACAGCAGAGGTGTTCCAACCTGCTGATCATCTTCATGGCCCTCTCTGGAGCGTCTGTCTCCATCCCTGCTTGAAATTTTGCCACTTCAGTCTTTCTTCTAAGGCCCTCAGTTTCTCAGAACCAGGGCAGGTTAGGAGGCCTTGGAATTGTTAGAAAGTGTGTACAAGAGTCATGGCACAGAGGCCAACCTGAAAAAAGGCATTCAAGTCAAGATCTGGATTTCTAGGAAAAGTTAACCAATAATACAGTTTTCTAGTCTCTCCAGAAAGGTACTTATAGTAACTTACCATCACATTTCATTAGTAGGAGTAAAATATATCTTCTTTCCAACAGATAGGCATCTATGTTCTGGAATAGTTTCTTCTAAATTTAAAAGGCTAATATGGAAATAATTGCTTGAATATGCGTCAAAAGTGATGTTGCTGGAGTAACTTCTATTCCCAGGCTAAAGTTGCTGCTTCTCTTGCCCATCCTATTACTTAGTTCCATTATTTTTATGAAATATCACAGGCTCTCCTTTAATATATATTGCTGTTTCATAATGAGAATGGCCATGGTTTTGTAATCTCTGTAATTGACCTGCATTAAAATTATGTCCAATTTGCCCTATAAGGCCTCATATAACTGCACTTTTTTAAACCTTTCCTCTGCTTTTCCCATGAGTGAACTGTTTGTTATGTTCCTGACAGTATGACTGCTGGCTTAATACAACTTTTTGCTAAAGAAAAGCAGGCACAAGTAGTCTCTGCATCTTTGATGCTATTGAGAGCACTGAGTTGCACAGTTCTCTGCAATTACAGTTGGAGAAACTTCACCAAAATGAGCAGATATGCATCCAGGTGAAAACAAGGGTAAGCAACTGGGCTAGAACCTAACACTGAAGTCCACACAAACTACTTTCTTACTTTTTTTCTCTCTCATTTTTTTTTTCCCCCAGAAGATAATTTTATGAGGCACAAGAGACCTAACAGAATACCACTAAAATAAAAGGCAAACTTTCCACTGAGATTCTAAAAAGCCAAGATCTTTCCCACCATGTTTGCTTCCAGATGATATTGTTAGGCTCTTGTCCATGGCATATGGACAGATTTTTTTAGCAAACCAGTTTGGTATTTCCTAAATTATTTGCAGGTAATTATGCTTTTAATCTAGATATTTGATTTTATCAGTGAGCAAATATGTCAGGACAATATTGCAAGCAAGTAAACCCATCTTGGAGCTCCTACAACTGCATGGTGAGTGCAAGCAGTATGGTGAGATGAAATCTAACATGAGCTCCACACTGTAGCTTGCTCTCCTGGCAGGTATTGGAGTAGAAGGCCCTCTGTCCTCTGCATTCTCCTTTATATGGCTTGATTTCACAAAGGCATTAGGAGAGTCCAGTATCGTGACTGCACTGAGCCCCTGTGGCTCCGTTTTGCCTCCTTTATGGCAAATGACGAAGGGAGCAGGGACAGCCTGGGTCTTGCTCTGTGATGTGGTCTTCATGCATGTACTGGTGTAAATGCCTCTCACTTTGTATAATCCCACAAATGCTCCCAGGCAGGGTATTAGGATAAGATCTAGCCAATTCTTTATTAGAGGAGGGGCAGCATGGACTAAAAGTGGTAAATGACTCTGCTCTAAATAACCACCTCCCAAAAATCAACTGCTTAGAAATTGCTGTAAAATGGCCATAATCTAGGGACAACCTATAATGAAGTGACAAAGCCTAATAAAATACATTTACAGCCAAAATACAGCATCTTGCCAATTTCATTGCGCAATAGACTGTCTTCATTTCAACAACTTGTAGTTCCTTTGGTCTTCCAGTTACCTACTGCCTGTTACCTAGAGAGACTTTCATGAAGCTCCATGCCCAGCTGGGAAGACCAGGCAATCATAAGGCTTCTGCAAGGATGAGATACTGGCACAGGTTGCCCAGAGAAGCTGTGGCTGCCCCATCATGGCAGTGTTCAAGGCCAGGTTGTGTGGGGCTTTGAGCAGCCCGGTCTAGTGGAAGGTGTCCCTGCCCATGGCAGGGGGGTTGGAACTGGATGAGCTTTCAGATCACTTCCAACCCAAACTGTTTTATGATTCTAGAGTTCTATGGTTCTGTGAGAGGAGCTGAGTGATGCTTTCAAAGTACTCTGAGGGACCAGTCTCTAACACCCTTGTAGGGAGATGAGTTTTAGAAATTATTCAACATAAGCCAAATTATGGACTGTTCTGAGCTATTTGATAAATCTGTAAAGAATAAAAGTTGATTCATCAGTGATGGAGGAAACTTGATCTTTGTGGGGGACCTTGGCAGAAATGAAAAATATTAAATTGGGTGCTGAGAGGTGCAAAGGATTGGTTCAGAAAGGATAGATCAAATGCCAGAGCACATGATGAAAAGCGACTGTTTGCAGAGCACATTCATAGGAGAGAGCTTTTACCTCTGCTCTTCTTTTTGCAGCAAAGCTCAGGTGTGATCTCACTCCCCTGCTGAATGGTGGCTGCAATAATCTCCTCAATCTGCTATGTGTTAAAACTGAGTAGAAGTCAAGAAAATGATACTGCTGAGAAGAAATTCAAATCCTCTTTATCAAAAGGAGATAGGTTCCTCATCTATTTAGCAATGCAAAGTTCTAAGCCCAGTGCTAGGCAGGGAATTTGCTTACATGTGGCAAAATAAAAGTAAGGAAGAACAATCAAATAAAAGGTATCAGCGTGGTGGGGTATTTTTAGAAAACACAACTGAAATGGTTGGAGTGTTTGGGATTTCACTTTGAAACAAAGAGGACCAAAGGTGTTCCTAGAGCTGTGCTTTTATGCTTCTATGGTAAAAATGTCAAGAAAACTATGTAGAGCTTTCAGGGGACTAAAAAGAGTGTGTTTAGTATGTTTATACACAATAATGAACTTCAGCAAGACCTCAAACTGCAGAGTATTAAGCTGCCCTCTCAAGCTCAGTTTGTAGTCATAACTAATGTTTTACAGCTCACGAAGCAGAAACGTAAGTTCAGCAATCTTCCTTACTAAGGCAGTGGTCGGAAATATCCATAACTTGTCAGAACAATCAGCACATCCTTCAAATGTAGAACTTTATACTACAAAACCAAGAGCTGATACTGAAATTTGGGAGTAGCCTTTTCCCCATGCATAATACAGCAGAACTCTTTTCTTTGGTCATCAAATATTTCTCAGTGATTTTAAACTAATCAATAGAAATTTGGTTCAGTAATTGAAACATACGAGTTTTAGAAAGAAATTAGAATGTTGGTTTTGTTGGTGCTGGTTTTAGTTAATGTAATTCTGTACAAATAAGTGGTGCTTAATTTTCACTTCGTTTTGTTTTTTCTTATTTCAAATAGTTTATAATTTTCACTGGTTAAAAAAAGAAAGTGAGCTTCTTTTGCATCTTGCCCCTTATTTTTCTTTTTTAATGAAGGAGTGGAAAAAAACAGAAAGAAAATAGGAAATTTTGGAAAAAGCTTTTGTTAACTGTTTTCCCATATGTGCATTTGCACTTGATGTGGCTTCGTTCTGTGTTTATAACAGTAAAACCCTTGAAAACAAGATAAAGACTTTTCCAGAAGAGAATCCAGGGTTAGGTCACTGGTTCCATGTCAAGGGAAAAGTCTACATTTTCATTTTTGTTAAGTATATAGCAATTCTTTGGGTGGGAACTAGTGGGTCAGCACTTTAAGTTCCAAAAAAACCATATAGACAAGAAAAAATAAACTTTATGTGTCTTTGTTGGCAATAAAAGAAACCATTGGGGTTTGCATTATTGCATGGACTTTTAAAAGTAAGAGAGCAGTGAGGCATTGACCCTGTAAATTAGAAAGAAAGAAAAAGGAAAAAAAAAAGGAAAATGAAAAATTCCTGAGCCTTGAGACTCTTTTTTATCTTATGTGTATTTTTTTGTAATTTCCTAAATCACGATGACTGCCATCATCCTTTATTCTATCAGTTGCATCCCATTCACCAATCCTTTTCTGAACTGTTAAGAGAGGTTCTTGCAAAGTGAGTCAAAATGGCATGTTCCCAAAGGCTACCCATTAGTTCAGAAGGATTTTTAGTCGGAAGAATCAGAACAGGCTCGGGTAGAATTAGTACAGCTGTTATTCAGGATTAGCTGTATTATTTCAGTAAATACATAATTTTAGTGTGTACAGGATGAATGGCCAACAAATCTGATTTCTGAACTTTTGTTTCAGATCATTAGGAAAGCTCTAAAGGAGGAAAAACAAGTGTCCACAAAGACATCTGCAGCAGATCTTGTGACAGAAACTGATCATTTTGTGGAAAATCTAATTATTTCTGTTCTGAAAGAGAAGTTTCCATCCCACAGGTAAGTGCCCATAGAAAGAATAAATTACCTTTTGCCTTTAAGAGCTCTCTATCTCGCTGTCATTTAAAAGGTATTTCAGAAGTCAGTATATCTCTCTTACATACGAACCTGTTGCTGTTGGACACTTTCATAGGACTCCTTTTTTAAAAATGTACCACTTCCCTGAACTTAGTACTTTATATTTTCTCATAGTTACTTTTCTTAATATATGTATTTAATAGTAATATTTCCCCTGTAAGGATATCATGTATGAAGGTCCCATATGGGTGTCCATCATTTTCAGGATACTGATCTATTGTATAAAAATTATACTAGGGATATCTATTAAAATATAGCTGAAATTGATGTTAGCAAAGGTCCCATTCTGCAAACCTTTCCTTCACTTTCTTTTGCCATCATACATAAGCATTTGCCAGATCAGGAAAAGTATCGTATTTAATCACCTTTATCTTATGTTGCATTGAATCCTAAAATCAGTGAGAAGCAGGGTTGTTTATCATCATCATTTGATGCATATACATAAACAGGTTATAAATTAATATATGGGATGTCAACCCAAGGTTTTAAAAATAGTTTAGATTCCTCTTGAATTATTATGGTCAATGTGAAAATAAGAACTGGAGCATGCACAGATTAAAGAGATGTTTTATATTAGTTGGCAGGGTTTGGTTTGATGCAAAGACTTTGCAATCAATTTCCACATTTGCCTTCATTCAGTTCACAAGGATAGAATTCATCGTCCTGCAGAGCCTGTGTATGACTCAAATACTGTATGACTTCCTTCTAACTGTGCATATCTCTGATGGAGATGAGCCTTGTACTCAAATGCCGTGCAGGAATCAACAAAGATGAAAATCTGGAGGCTCAGCTACTAATCTGATTGTCGGTGATGCTGCTGGAAAACAAACAAACAAACAAAACCCAAAACGACACTGTAAGAAGGAGCAAAAAGAACCTTATATACTAAAAATGGCTTTCTAAATACGTGTTGTATGTGACCACATGCTGAAACAGTACTGTACAGCATAACGTGTGGTTCTTGGCCATGATTCTCAGGAGAGTGCCAGGCTTTATAAGTCTATTATTTGTGTAATATTCCTTCTATTGCTGTCTGCGCTCTTTTCTAATCTCCACTCTTACGTTGTTGGGGTTTTGTTTTTTTTTTTTCCTTGAACGGTTTGGCAGAGAACATAAAACATATACATTTCACATGAAACAATCATCACGAGGTCTTGAGTTGCTCAGAATGGGAACAAAAGTTGTAAGGTCAACATAAACCTAGGAGCTGAAAAATCCCTGACTTTATTAACTCTGTATAGTTAACTTCTGACTTTATAAGCACATTAACAAATTGTCAATTCCTCAAGACAATTATTTTTTGCTGATATTGGTTGTTGGTTCAGACAGTGAATGCATTTAGATTAAAAGATAGATTAAAACTATTTAACTGGACTAGATTAAAATACTTGCAACAAGGAGTCCACAATAGCAGTCAAGGTTTAAATTCAAGTGCCATGAAGATATTAAAACATCACTTAAACTGTGTTGTCTTTCTCTTAATCTGGCTGCTGACTGCATCACTGAAGATCTCTGTTATTTCATTTTCTCTTAAATCATCTTGATTCTTATGTTCTCTGAATCAAAAAATGTAGTTAGGAGTTAGAAAAATTAAAAGGGATCTCACTAGGGTCCGTGCCATTTGCACTGTGTCGATGAGTCTTGAGTTACTGGTAATGTACTCAGAAAAAGAAAGAAATGCTAGGGAAACCTGTTAAAAAGGTAATTCTGTCCGCTGTCTCTTTCTTCCCTCTACTTGGCTAAGTGATATGTATCATCCTCATTTACACTTCACCCAAGTTTTCATCTTTGCCCACTCTTTGGTACTCTGATATGCTCTAAGTGAGTCTTTTCAAAAGAATATTTTTTTCTGATAGATCTTCTGAGCTGCGGATAGGCACAGCCAGAATATCAGGGGCTACTAGTTGAAAACGGCTATCATACCATTTGCCTGTGTTATTGTTGCGCAAGTTGTCATCTTTGGTCTTAATTGTGGTCTTAACCATGTAGAAATTAAAACAAGGACACAGTCATTACAGAGGGTGACATCCAACTCTAGCTTCCTAGCTTTCCACCCTCAGACCCCCATAAGGGCATAGGTGAGGGATAGCCCTGGACTGAACCTCCTGCACTAGACTGCGTTATCACTCCTGCTGCAGTTTATGCTGTGCTACAGTTTCCCTGCTGTTACAGCAATGAATTTTAGAGCGTCACTGTGGTATGAACAGATGTAAGCTAATGCTTGGCTAAAATTACTGGACTCGTTTTCAGTGGGAGAAAACTATAATCCAGTTTTGAAGAGAAGTCAACAGAGCTGGCAGGCTGGCATATTGAATTAACTACTGTAATGACATAGCTACCCCTCTCACTTCTCCAGCTGTTCCTAAGCTTGGTCTCTTGTGCATCAAATGTTTTGCTTAGTTTGCATGTTTATACAGGACAGAGAGCTATAGAGCAACACATCTAATGGTCTAATGTCGATCATCTAATGTAAGGGACTCTCACAGTTCCCAGTACTGTATAATAGCAAGACTCTTATTTTAACCCACTAGCCCAAATTTCATAAAACGTGCACCTAATTTGTCCTAAATCCATTTTGGAAATTTTTTTCTTAGATATTGAGACTTTATCAATGCATAGCACTGTTGTGCCTTGGCTTCACATTAGAATTTCTGTACACGAGGACTGCAGCATCACATCCTGTTGTAAGGAAAAGATGAGGGACATACTTAAGATAATTAAGGACAAAACACCTTACACAGAAATGCTCTTGTCTTTGAAGAGGTTCCCATTTCACCTTTCTTTGACTGGCAAGACAATGGCTACAGTTCAGGCTCTGGTTGAGGGAGCTGGCAGAGGGATGAAGCAGAGACATAACTTATAGGGAAGTTGGACAATCTGAGCTATCTGCAAGAAGATGAGCTGCTCCTGCAGCCAGCACACAAAGTATATTGGTGGTAATTACAAGACTCGTAAAAGCAAAAGTCAAATGATACAGCACCAACAAGACAAAATAATGGAATATTTACAGCAAGGAGTCTGCAAAGTGTTATGCTTAACTGAGAACTCCAAACATTTGTTCAAATCTTTCTTGTTGCACACTAACGCTTTGTCCTTCAGCTGGTATCTTTAATGCCGATTAAAATAGTAACAAACACTTCCTACTTCCCTCATCATATCAACTGGAGACCCACAATGCCATGAAAATAGTCCATTTCTACTGAGGAAAAGGCAGAGTAGCATTTGGAAAATTCAAGAAGTCTCCTCTTGTGATGTCTGCAGAACATTTTAAGCTTGTGATTGCAAGAGTATGTGACTTCAGGTAGCGCATGTTGACGACACAAAATAGCTGCTACCCTAGTCCTAGGGAAGAAACTGTTCCTGCAAAAGACATTTTCTCTTTATTTTGCCCAACTCTTTGTCCAATTTGTGTCTTCGAGAGAAGCTTTTTTGTCTTCAAGTGTTTGCAGGAACTCAGAATACCACTTCCAGTTGTTCAAACGTGAAATCAAAAGCAAGTTTGAGTACTATCAGTCTCATTCTACACCTTCTGTACATACAGGACTTCTGTGAGACTAGCACCTGCACACTACTGATAGAAAGAGACCCTGAGCAGTTTATGGGAGAGCTGGGATAATTGAGGTCAGCAGGAAATGTACTAGAACTGGATGTTCATTTCCCAGGGAAAAAGGAGGGGGAAAAAAAAAAAGCATATTCCTACTAAAAGAAACTGGGACATAACAACAGAATAGATTAACTCAGACTTCACTGTGTGCTTTTGCATCTGAACAACAAACAAAAAAATTGATTTGTTGATTTTCTCTGGGTCATGGGAAAAAGAAAGATCAGCTTTGTGAACCTTTTAATTTCCTGAGTCAGACTTCTGTAGAAAATGCAAGTAGGAGTGAGAGTGTGGATTTTCTAAGAGTGCATTATTTCCCGCTGACTGAATTTGACTGCAAAGGAGAAGCAACTACAGTTTGCAGTTTATATTACTTACTGCAAGAGACAGGCTTAACCCATAAAATTACATTCTGCATAAAAAAAACTTTTGGACTTCAGGGATGTCAGTTCAGGTCCATTTCTGCTTTCAGTTTCATGATTTTCTTAATGGTATATTGGGAAAGTGAACACAGATTGAGCTCTTTTATACCATGTAAAATAGTATGCTATACATTTCTTTCAGAATATCTGTGAAAGTTCCTCACTCCCAAATAAAAAAAGCAATATGTCTTTATACATATATATACATTTGTACAAAAATTTTATATATATATACACACAAATTAAGTATCTCTTTAAAACTGCAAAGATGGAGTTTGACTTTTTAAGTCACATATCTAAGCCAATTTTCTGGGACACTTGTTTTACTTCACACCAAATGCAGGTTTATTGCAGAAGAATCCACTGCTGCTGGTTCAAAATGTGTCCTCACTGACAGTCCGACCTGGATTATTGACCCTGTTGATGGAACGTGCAACTTTGTGCACAGGTAAGTGGACAGTGAACTGGGAAATTACATTAAAAAGCAAAATGTAGCTTCTCACAAATTCTCCTTTCCACTTAAAGTTGTTTCACTGTGGTAGGTTTGTTCCTTTGACTCATAAGTAGGAGTCATCCCTTTATCTTTTTGTACCTCTGCATAGTGAGTGTCTGAGGGAGTGTGTGTTTGTGCTGGAGAGAGCTCTATACTGTTATCTAAAGGTAAGCTGAAGTTTCTGCTGATTGCTTAATGACCCAACCTCTTGACTCACAGCTCATTTATATATAACCGCACATTAACGTGCAGAGACTTGAGCTGACCTGGAGGAGTAAGGCTGTGCTATGATGACACTTGGCCTAACGCCTTGTGAGGTTGTTACTCATTCCTCTTAGTAGTGGTGTTTTCTCCTTTTCAAATACAACTGCTTAGTTCTTCCTAGGAAGTATAGCTATTGCATATATGTAGAGCAGAACTGAAAACTAAGATGTACATAGATACTGGTTTTACATTTCTGTAATACCTCTCTGCAAAAAGAAGTCTAGGGATCATTACTGCAAAAATGCAGTCATTCAATTCATCATTTGACTACTCCTAATACTTTTACTTAAAAACCTTAAATATGTTCTGCCTTATAGTTACTGACTTAACATAAATGCAGTTATTAAAAAAAGAAAAAAGTAATTTCCTTGACTTTTGGTTCAGTTACAGAGAATTCGAGGGGAGGTGGGAGGGTGTCATGTGCTGGTGTTTCATGCAATCAAGTGAAGTTTTGTCCTGCTAGCAAATATGTTCTGGACCTCACAGCCCTTTTTAAAATATGTTTTTAAGAAATTAATGTCATTATTTAAAATGCAACAATTATACTTTAGTCAAAAGGACCAAATTAAGTTCATGATCATCACTTTGACAAAGGAAAGGGTAGAGGAGCTGCTTTCTCCTTATGTTGATGTCAGCAGCAAGGTATCTCCATGCTACTTAATTGCTATCTCAGGTACGTGAATGTGAACAAAATGTGCTCTTAGAAGTGATACCTTATTATAACAACATTAATGATTTTATACTGGATAATTCAATTACACTAAAGCAAAAAGTTCGCTAAAATATATGACAAGTTTAGTCTAAAAAATCCTGGTATCTTCGTGTGTGTATTTCTTGTTTTCTCCAGTACTGAATTATATTTTTAAAGGAACTGACAAAGTTAAAGAGACTGACAAAGGAGAAATTAGTACAGTGTCAAGAGCATTTTGAGACGAGTAAAATCACAAAGCTCTAGATGGGGTTTTGTTGCCTAAGGGAGTTCCATAAGGAGTAAGTAGAGATATTTTTCATCAATAATACTTTGTTTCTTATATTTCGCAGATTTCCAACAGTGGCAGTGAGCATTGGATTTGCTGTTAACAAAGAGGTATGAAGTATGTTCTTTAAGATGGGTACCTGAGAGCTGGCTAGAAGTCTCAAAACCATGTGGAAACTTTAAATAGAATATTTTTTTTTTTAAATATCAGCCACTTATCAAGTTTTTCCACACTTTTTAAATGCGTTCAGTCATACTCTACTAGTCTAAAATAATAGTCCTGCAAAACTTATGCAAACTGGCAGTTACAAGACAATTCTTGCAAATTACTATAAATATTATATAGGATTGGGGGGGGGAGGGAGGGAGTACCAGTGTGAGCAACGTTTTGTCTTGCTCCATGAGTTAAATATAGTGCTGCCTATTCATAATTTAGATAAATCTTATAGTGTTCGTATGTTATTATTATTGCTTCATTCCTGTTAGCTATATCTGTGAAAGCTAACGCTGCTATGAGGGAATTCAGAACTGATTTCAATGAAGAATGCGAAAGTATGGGCCTAGTTCATTTAATCTGCCTTTGTGGTTTTTTTAACATATAAAATAACTTACATTTCTCACATGAGAGCTTGATTACGAGGGGGGTGGGGAAGTATGTGCCATTTGTGTTTCTTAGCTATACTCATTCATGCTACTGCCTATTCTCAGATGTTGCTGGTTTACAGTTTGATATATATGGAAAAAATAGCTATTCAAATTGCCAAGGAACGTACATCTTTCAGCCTAATTTCACGCTCTTAAATATATTTATAACTGGAAGTGAAGCCAGCAAGAATTCTGTGTAATTACAGCATAGTTTTAAGATGTGCTAGCTCTTACTGATTTAAACAGAATAATTTGTGTACTTCTCTAGTTAGACTTTTCTAACATGGAAAATGCTTTTCAAACACTTCCATGCTTTTCTGGAGTTTATGCATTCCCAAAGGTCCTTTTGAATACTATGTATTATTACCAGACAGCTTTCTCTAATATTTATGTTTTCTAGAACACCATCATGATTTTGATGCTGCATATTTTGGGTTATGTAAACTAAACAAAGCTGAAACAAAAATAAAGAATGATGTTAAATATCCCTCGGTAAACAAATGGGAAAAGCAGAGGAAAAAGTAGTAAGCTTAAAAGGAGCCAAAGTATACACAGGGGAACTGGCCCAGATATAAGACTTGAACAGTACTAAAGAAATTCCTGCAGATGTCTTTATGGAAAGAGTCTATTAATAGTGTGTTCCTCAAAAAATCCCAACTTGGTTTAGGTGGGACCTTGGGGTAGGGAGCGAGGACAGTCTGCTCCCTTCAAATTGTCTCTGAATGAACGCAAAGGATCATTCACACTGAATGGAGGAGAGCAATAGGAAAAGATTGGGGGTCTAGACCATCTGAGATATTTTCCTGACCTTGTTGTCAACTTCTGTGACCTCGGGCGAGTCACTTAATTTTTGTATATCTATTCACCCCTAAATAAAATATTGTTAATAGTACTTACATAGGCATGACATTAGGAGGTGATCATTGAAGCTCATGAAGTGCTTTAAAAACTTTTGGTGAAATCTATTAAAGTAATGGAAATATTAAATATCTTTGGTTTAAATCAAGAGTCCTGTTCTGACCCTCTTCTCATTGATAAACAGATACTCCCACAAATATTCCAGTGTTCCTCATTTTAAAGCTTTCAGTGGGTGTCACAATATTTGGTATTTCTCTTCAAACTCCTTCTCTTGGAGTTGTGTGACTTCATGAGATTCCCACTTTTATGCGCAAACAAAAGGATTTTGAAGAGAAATGCTTGAGTAAGTGACTGGAGTCTACTACTTTGTTTGAAAAGGTGGGCAAATTAAATGTATCATGAAAAGTGAAGTGCATATAAAAGCATCCACTGCTAATAAACAGTGTGCCATGACTTTTGAGTTTGGATGCCTGACTGATCTTATCTATGTATTTGGGGCTGCAAATCTTCAGGGTCCAGCTGAAGTCAGTGGGATTACTCCTAGGTGTAACTGCTCACCAGTGAAAGTAAAGCATTCAGAACCTGGCCTTAGAGGACTTACATACTTTCAATAAAGACATACAATTGAATTTGAAATCATCTTAGCATGTAGTCCATTCTAATGTGAACACAAAGAAGCTGCAAGTAAGAGTTTAGAAGATCACTACTGGATTTCATTAACTTCTCTTTATAAGCTGAATTTTACATTACCTATATCTCAATATCACAGTAATAGTAAAATTATTCCAGTTTATTAGCATCAATATACTCTCTGATTACATGTACCAATTAAAATATTGCTGATCTTTCTGCCATTAGTAGTTGTTTATATTTATGATGAGTAATTTGAGTTGCATTCATTTCTTTCCTTTTCAAAATCTTAAAGCTTGAATTTGGTGTAATTTACCACTGCACTGAAGAACGATTATACACTGGTAGAAGAGGTCAAGGGGCATTTTGTAATGACAAAAGGCTTCATGTATCAAAAGAGACAGGTTGGTCTAGATTTTGTTAGAACTCTAAAAGGAATATGTTAATTTTGTTTCAGAGTTGTTGCAAATCATCATTAGGATAATGAACATCATTATCCTGATGAGAAGTATTTCACCTGCATGATAATTTTGTTGTTCTGTGTTTGTTTCTTTCTGAAAAATTACAACTTTAATTTTCTTTTTAAAATGTAGACCTGAATATGAACTATTTAAATAATCCTTAAATTATTTTGCTTCATAACCATTGTTTAAAATAAAGCAGAATTAGTAGATTCACCAGTTTCATTCCAGCTGTACACTGGCATAACTTTTTATGAGCAAGATGCAATGGGAATGGTGAATCGGAGTACCATGGCAGCCATTATTCACTTATTTTCCAGTATGTCATAAAGTGTGTTTTGTCTGTAGGCATACATGCTAACAGTAAATTCAAGGATGCATGCTTCATTAGGGATTCTTTAACAGCTTGCTTTTGTGTGTGTGATGTTTCAACATACAAATAGCTAGCGACACTTAGTCAATACTTTAATGGATTTTTTTTTATTGTTAAACCAAGGCATATGTCTGTCTTTTTACCTAATGATAATAGATAACAATCACCAGAGAAATTTCTTTTAATAAATCAAAATGCAGTGGAGAACATAACACTCAGTTATAGACAGAAGCAGGCATGTGCCAAAAATGTACATCATTGTACACAGGAGATGGTAAAAATTTCACCCTGAAAAGTGAACTTTAGTGAACTTGAAACATGGTCAATTCAAGAAATTCAACATACAGATCTGTTGCAATGCCCCAAGCAGACTCTGCCTTAAAACTTCCCAAAAATTTGAGAAGTTTGGCTATTCACCTAAATTAATAGTGAGCTGGAATCTCCCTTTTTTATAGAGATGGAGCAAATTGTAAAGTCCGAGATCCCTAAGATTTTAACCCTTGATTGTACATCACATTTTTGTCTGTGCTCAAATATCTGGTATTCCACAAAAGCCCATGTGGGCTCCCAGTTGGGCTGGCAGAGCCTCTCTTGAAATGGCTGGACTTGCCTTTGCAGTTAGGGAGTTGTGGTTTCCAGTTAGGCAAGGAACAATTTTGGCACATGCCACTTTTGTCCTTTCTCTGGACACCCAGAGTACATGGGTGTCTAGCACATAGAAAGGGAAGTGGTTCCAAATGCTTAGAAATTTTCCTTTGTTTTGAGAGACAAATTGGTGGTGGGCAGTTTCACCAGTGAAGATGGATCTTTATTAGTCTCACTTCTGTTGATGTTTTAAGTGTATAAAATGACAGTTCCTCTTTTCCTGTAAGGGCTGTGGCTTCAGGGAAATAAACCAACCCTGAAACAGATGGTGTGTTTCCCTGTACCTACCACTGGAACTCAAGTAGCCTTCACCAATGCATGATGTGTTGGAGATCTAGACTGTCATGTAACTTCATATCTTTCGATTTCAGGAGATGTGACTGTTGTATACCATTGTTCTATGCTATACATTAATTGTTGAGATTTAATCATTTGAAATCACAGCCCAGGCAAACACTGTTAATTGTCAATGCCAGATTTTATAGAGGTCTGGTGTGGGAGTCCAAGTAGTCAGGACACACTTAAATGAAGGATCCATCTTCCCTTTGATTTTGAATGATACTTTCTTCATCTTAGGTTCGTCAGGCCTTATATGTGCTAATATTGTATTTTCTTTTTTTTTAATCTTCTGTGGTCAACAGAATTGGTCTTTTCCTCAGAATTCTATCTGTATCACTGTTAAATATCTTCTACCAAGCCTCCTTATTTTTCTGGTCTCTGTCAGAGTAAGAAGTCAGTAAATTTTCTCTTGTACCTTGAATTCCTGAAACCCCATCAAGTTTTGTGATCAGACAGCTCCTTTAAATAAGCAGATACCTCCTTTTTCCTTGCCTTAGTCTTTCCCTCCAACTTCTTCCTGTAGCCTTGATGAAAATTGAAGATATCCGTTTAGTCATTAGAAATATATTTAATAACTCAAAAGAACTGTCTTAGTCATAACCTAGCTATGACTGGCGTGGCGTGAATGCTTGGTGCATTTCAGCAATGAGGTGTGCATTAAATGTTCTGTAATTATAAATTGGGTTTGTTATGCAAAAAGATCTAAGGCAGATTGCTTTCACCATCCAGCTTTTTCAGTGGTGGCTAAACAACAAATACCTTGCAGTGTGCCTGGATGGGGGTTTCTATGTTTCAATGCAGTAATTTAAAAAGTGGTTGTTAAATCTATGTTCCTACAGTCAAGTTTTGTGATACCTGTAACTTTTAATCTAATTACATACCTCTTACTCACCAACCATTTACTGCATTGCTTGAATCCGTACTGTTCCTCTGCAATACTAAATTCATTAGTAGCCTGTTTAATTAAACGCTGTCTCACTCCAGTCTGATTTGTTTTTGAAAACCTCCTTGCTGCTCCTGCGAAGAATTTTCAACTTAGAACAGTTAGATGTAATAACCAGGTAGACATTCCTTATCTGAATGAATTCCTAGCCTTTAACCCAGGGTCGAAGGGGACACCTGACCCTTGCACACATCCTAGTTAGTGAATAGTCAGCCACTAAATTTTTGAGTTTTGTGTATCTTTAACTCTTCCGAGTTTAGCTGCACAGCAGAAGCAGGAACACTTGGCATTTGATCAACCATCTCCACCTACTTTGGCATACGCTTGTTATAGACTAACAATATTCAGATATCACATGAGGACTACTTCAGCATCTTGCAAGTCCCTGTGAGTCTCTCCTTTGACTCTACACAAGGCTGATATCTTCATCTGCTGTAGGTCATAATCACCCTTGCTGAACACAATACATATAAACATTCATATATTAATAATTAAGATACTGCTTTAATTTGTGATAAGAAAGGGTCTTTTTTTAGTCATAAGGTACCTTCAGTCTTTGAAATGTCAGAATGAACGTGAGCTGTTACTGGGTGACTGGTGATTTAAGTAGAAACTTTTCTTTCCTCTTACTGTATTCCCAAATGTTTATAACTTGTTAACAAATTACATTAAAGTTCCCTATTCAAAAACCATCCTGTTTTCAAATATGATTAGATTAGCATCACTAATAGCTATTAGGTCACTGGATTATTTTTAGTTGAATGTTGATGTTAGTGAATTTGCCAAAAGCTGACCAGTCAGTGTATGGAAAGAGAAAGAATGTGAAAATATATTCTTGGTCTTAATCTTCCTGTTCTGTTTTGGCTTTTTTAAGTGTGTTTGGATTAGACTATTAGATATAAGAAATCTAGTCTTGCTTTAATTCTCATGCAAAGTTGTAACTTATCCTATGAAAGAGTTTAGTGTAAAAAAAGAGAGTTGAAAATTATTTTTCTGTGAAAAGTCCAGTAGTGTTTAACTTAAAAAGACATTTATAGAATCAGCCTAGAAGCTGTTGAATTAATGCAAACAACTACCTACCATTGCAGATATCTCGAAGGCCTTAATTTTAACAGAAATTGGTCCAAAACGTGACCCTGCGACTTTGAAATTGTTCCTTGGTAACATTGAGAGATTGCTCATGGCCCAAGCACACGGGTAAGATATTTTATAGTATATGTCTTACATTTGTGACCACAAATCATTAAAAAGAACCCAACCAGTATGTTGCACATTTTGCGATCTCAACACATAGGTTGAACTCAAAGGCATTTTCTGCTTCATGTTACCACGTCCCCTCTTGTGGGGTTTAGGGTTCGTGTCATTGGGAGCTCGACCCTGGCTCTGTGCCATTTGGCATCCGGCGCTGCAGATGCCTATTACCAGTTTGGGTTACACTGCTGGGACTTGGCAGCGGCAACTGTCATTATTAGAGAGGCGGGTGGCACTGTGATAGACACTTCAGGTGAGTAAAATATCCTTGTTTTCATTGAAGTTGGGGGGACTGAGTGGCTATTTCAGGGCAACTTGTGTTACCTCAGTACAGTCTTCTGTGGCTCTATCTCATCTGTAGCAATATTCTGTAGAAACGCCTGTACTCTCCACTAGACTCTGGTTATTCACAACACACTGATGTAATTCCAGCCTGGGGTTTCATCACATCAGAGGACTTCTGAGTCAAACTGTATTTCCAGTACTTTGAGTAATATCTTTAAAGCATCAGATTTACAGTAAAGAACTAGGCCAGGAGATTGGTAGATATGCTCAGACTCCAAACAGATTTTGGCTGAGACAGCCTCCCAGGAAAGGAGGACTCTCAGGTACATGTCTGAATATATATGTCTAGGAACAACATAGAGGGCGTAAAGGGCAGCACAGTCTCTGGATTATTATTTTATTTATTGATATGGTACACATCTCAGAGTAACAGTTAACTGCTAACAAGTATGTGGATACTTTGGAAAGATACGGTGAATTACAAAAGGTATGCTGATTAAACTAATTTCTGTTCCATCCCTTCCTGTTGCTAGGAGAAGGGAATACTGCATTTATTGTTGGATTCTAAAGGAATCTAGACATTCACTGATTCTGTTGCATACTTTGGCACTGTACCTAGAATTTTCTTAAATACCTTTTTTGCAGGAGATTTCCAGATAGCAGTTGCTGAATTAAGTTGTGCTTCCCACCCTGAAAGGAGCTACATATTTTTCATTTTTCAGTGATTATTTTCATTATGTTTCAGCATTTCTGAACCTATCTAATTACAGCACTGTTTATATTTAAGAATATATTGCCTTTATACATTACGTAAGAGAGTTCTCATTAATCCTCTTGTCCTCAGGGGGACCTCTGGATCTTATGTCCTGCCGAGTGGTTGCTGCAGGAACCAGAGAGATGGCTATGTTCATAGCTCAGGAAATACAAACTATTCACTACAGACGGGATGATGAAAATTAAACACTTACAATACAGAGTTTTCCCTCCTGAACTATGTAACTTTTGCAAGATGGGTGGCTTAAAGGGTATGTGATTTCAGCAGGATGCTTTCTGTGGAGATTTTCTGTGTCAAATATTTTTTATAAATTTATTACAATGTGGGAAGGCATAGGGAGATTTTTAAACCTCTAAGAACTGTGTTTCCTTTTTAATACGTATCTCTATCAGCAGTATCTTTTTTATAAGATAGCATATTTTACTTGTAGTAAACTAGTCTCAGAATTAAGTCATAATTTCATATCTGTGGGGCTGATATTTAGTCTTTTGTAACATGCAGCTAAAAGTTGAACTTTATTTTTACAGATGCAGATCTCAGGTAAATGAGCTTTAGGACTGTAGTAAGGACAAGTAGTTAAGATGTGTGCCTATAATACCCTTGTTCTATGATACTTAAGGATGCAATAAAAATGACATTATTGTTTCCTCACTATGTCATAGCTATATATCCATATAAATATATGTACATGCATGTATGTCTGTGTGTATGTGTTTATGTATGTGTGCACATACATACATATGCATGTATACACACACCCCCCCATGTGTGTGTGCGTATATACATATATGGGTATTCTGGATGTTTACAGCATTTTAGAGGATGCATAGAAGAAAGCTAACATTGGAAGTTATTTTCAGGTAAAGAGTATAGGTTACTTATGTGATTTTGGTGGGGGTTATGCAAATGGCAAATAGCTTAGTTGATCATGGAAAATTATAATGATTTTACAAAATGTCTGGCTAGTTCTTGTTTCCCTTTATCCCTCTGCATGGGGATAAATCATACAGTCCTAGAGGCCTCTGTGAGATATTCAAACCTACAAACACTTACTACCATAGAGTAATTATAGTTAAAACCAAGAATATTGAATTCTACCGAGGTATTCACAGTATTAACTATGACACACAGTAGGAGGCCAGCAGAGTAGAGCACAGTGTCAAGGAGCTGTTGATTTTAGAGAAACAGAACAGCAGGATTTGGCCCCTCACAGGCAAGTTATTAAAAATATGCACATAAGATACACTCACACAGAGTTGTAAGCACACTTTTTGATCAGAGAAACCTGTAAACTCAGCTACATACATACTTGTCCTCTATCCTTGTATGTAGCATTGGTTTTCATTCCACCAAGGTAATCATTCTATTTAGATTATTTTTTAAATCATGAGCACAGAGAGACTACAAGTGTGTCCAGCAAAGTAGCTGAGATCAAATCCCTTCTATTTTTTCTTTAAAAATTGAACTAAAATATCTTTTTTACAAAAGTGCATAGTAAGTAAGGAGCCAAAAAGCAAGTTGGTTCAAAATTTTTAACTTTCTTTATACACTGCATGTGTAGACTTTGTAAACATGTTTAGATGCCTGCTTAGAACATACAAACTAAGCAGTATTTTTTAAAAATAATCTTAATGTGTTTCTTGCATTGAAAAATGTTTTTCACTGAATATAACATAAAATTGTGTCATTTCTTGATGCTTTGTTTCAAAAGAAATACAAAGTACTGACTGTGTGAAGAATGTCTAAGTCCAGCTAAGCATTTAAGAACTGATGCTTCTTACCAGAAAACCGATGCTGTCCGTCACAGTGATCAACTTTTGTCACTGCTCCCTTTTACCACACCACTTCCCCCATCTCTTTGTATCCCCCTATTCTGAAATAGAGATTGTAAGCCCTCTTGGGCAGGGACTGTAGTACTTTGGCTCTGGGTTTGCACAGTGCTAATAGGATGTGATTCTGGTCCACAACTAGGCACTAAGGTGCTATAATAATACAAATAATAAATACTAATAGGCTCACTTGTCTCTTATTCACCCTTCCCCCCACTTTCTAAGCCCAGCGGAGATCCCCGTGACAGATACAGAGCTTGGTGGTACTGCTCTGATCCCAGGGTACTTAGCCTTGGCAGCCGCGGGAGCAGGCAGGGCTTTACTCGGACTTCTGCCATGACTGTAAGCCCCATAAGGAAGCTTATGCTGGCCGGGGATCAAGTGTAGTAGAAGCTCAGCCCCACTTCATTTGCTCTCCCTCTTAACCCTGTTCCCCTCATTGCTCTGGGACTGGGGCTTTTGCGAGAAGCTGCTGTGCATGGCTCCAGCGAGGTTTCCCAGCAGCCGAGCCTGCTCGTACAAAGAAAGTCTCTGACCCAGTTAGGGGTGGTGTGCACTGGCATCCCAGAGCTTGTCAAAGCAGGGAAATCTATGTATCGACTTCATTGGCACACACCAGCAATTCGCAAAGCCAGGAGCCAAGCATGTTGGGAAGGGATAGGTGCAGAAATCCATTCACAAGTTCTCATTTGTGTCCAGGATGCAGCCTGGGTTTTTATTTGGGCTGTAGTTCAAGCATGTTAAAGTGGCAGTGTGTGTGTGTGAAGCAGCAGTCCTGTCTCCCCCACCTCCTCTGCGTCCCGTGTGCCAGTACAAACATTTCTGAACTCTTCCAGGGGACCAGATGAGTGAAGTGATCTGCCTGTAAAGTACCCCAGTAAACAAAAAGGGGATTATTTTACAGACAGATCATTTTCTCAACCCAATTCAGCCCCTGGCCACCACAAGCAGCTGACTTCAGGCACCAAAGTGGCAGGCAGGATGGCTCTGTTCACAGATGGTGCCACATTACGCCAGTTCCAAGTTTTCAAAGTGCAGCATTAAAACTATTTGACTACATGCATTGACTGAAATAAACTGTACTGGAGTTTGTCCTCCCTGCGTTTTTACTTGCTAGCCAGATGAAATTCCGCTCAGCATGTGTGTCCAGCAGCTTTCTGTGTGAGTGCAAGCATTCATAACAGAGTGCAGCACATCAGCCAGAAATGTGAATCCCCCCAAAATGCTTGAACATATGGCTTCTTTTCCCTACCAGCTGTTGTAAAATGCTGTAAATGTTTTCCACTACATACATGGTGGAGTATATAACTGCATCTGCAATTAGGCATCCAAGACAGATGAAGATTTTCTGCATGAACATTGATACAAAGGTGCCTGTGCTCTGAAAAGCAAGTGCTTCCTCTGTAAGCAAACGGTGCTCAGCTTCCCAGAGCTATCCCAGTTTGTTTCTACATCCCTCACTGGCTCACTGGTGGAGAACAATTTATACCTCCAGGCTTGCTGGCCTGGTCTCAAATAGTGCTTTCTGGTAGAACAAAGAGCGGAAATAGCTGTAAACTCCAGGAAGATGATCCATGTCTGATTCCTTTGCAGTATGTCTTGTTGAGCTTGTCAGATTTTACAGGACAAGTATTGGCATGTTTCATACATGCTAAAGGACTGATATTTTCTCCCTTTGATTACACTAGCTAATCTCACAGTATTAAAGAGACTTTCATGCATTGGAGCACTTATAGGGGCCCACAGGCAGTATTTTCCACATTTCACCTAGAATTTGGTTCCTGTTGGCAATGGCTTCAATAAAAGTACCACTTACCACCAGCTATTCTGCTATCAGTATCAGGGCTGTGCTGTTCCCTTAGCAAGGTTGGATGTGTTCAGTGTATGCGCAAGAGATGTGCAATTTTTGAATAATGAAGTAATGCCTAAGCCACTCTATCAAATGAAGACAGACTGAACCTTTTTTCCTAGTAACTTCCTAGAGCTAGCAAGGCTGTTTAAACTATTTTTTCCCTTTATGCCTGTAGGGAAACTGTATACAAAAATATGCTCTTTCAGTACTATATGTCCAAGACTGAAAATGTAGACAAGTCAGAATCATGGTTCTTACAGCAGTTTCCATTTTACAGTGTGTTACAGTTAGGTCTTTCATAGAACATCTCACCAACACGAAGGAACGTGACAAATTATTCACCAACAGTGGAAAGAGGAATTTCCATTTTCTTTTAATCTGTGCACCAGACATGACAATAGCACTATAGGATGCTGCATTTCATATGCATGCTGTGTTCAAGCAGCAAAAGAACTACTTTAACTCAAAAGAGATGTAACTCTGGATTTCTGTGGGTTTTGCTCCTGAAGTTTTAATTTTAAAATGCATTACAATAGCAGGTTTGTAGTTCTGTACTTTACATTATATTTATACAGGGAATTTAACAGCAAAATGGATTGGAGGTCAAAGTGTGCCATTTCTCATCTCAGAATAAGGTTTGTATTTCACAACATAGAGAAGCAGAATTCTGTATCTCAGCATACTAAATGATACTATTTTAGTTACAAAATATCACATGCTATTTCCCTTATATACTGCTATGAAATCCATGCATAGAAACAATGTACTCCAGTGCAGCCTGGTGACAAAAGAGAAAGACCCACCTCATACAGGTGGTATGAGAATTAATTAATGTTCAGGAGGCTCTTCAACTGCAGCCACTTTTCTACCATTACTGAAACCCATTCAGTCATGCTGAGTACTTCAGTGCATACCCTAATATACACCATTTATACATTCATTCTCTGAAACCTTTTATGCACGCTATCACTACATTCTCCTAGCTAACACACTAGGCTTTCTTCAGTTAGCTATCTACTTTCAGTTTTACTAAGAGCTGTTACACAGACACATTTTTCACACAGAAAGATTATGTTGGGTATTAAAGAGGTCAGCAGGGAAAGGATAAACTTTATCACATTAAGCCGGAAACCTCTTTAAGTGTGAAAGGTCTCTTTTAACAGTGCTTTTCTTTTAGCCGTAAATACGCCATGGTGGTATACGAATATAAGGCTATTGGAGAAAGCAGAACTATATATGAGAATGCAGTATTGCTGAATCAGTGATGCAGCAGTCCTTCGAAACACTATGATGTTAACTGTCACTTTAAGACCATGAATTGGATATTCATGGTGGAAATACTGGTTTATTCTATTTTCAAATGAATTCAAGCATTATTAGCCAGGCTGTCAGACAACATGGAACTAAAATCAATTCCATCACTTTTGTTTATCCATCGCAGTAAGTAACACATTGTTCTGAGAAATACAGATACTCTCTTTTGCCAAGCATTGTTTAATGTTCGTCTTGTTGAGCAATACCACCAAATGATGCTGGTGAGCCCAGCTGAAGAAAATGGGGGGCAAAGTACTGGCACAAGAGAACCCAACTCTGGTGATGTTGTGAAGCTCAGGGCATGGTGAGCATCACTGTAACTCAGCAAAACTATCAGTTGTGTTTGGACTAAAATAACAGTAGTCTTCCGTGATGTAAACACATCTATCAGGTGACACGTAGTCAAGTTTTCTGGAGACACTGGGTGATGCTAAATTGTTATTTCAGGTGCTCAGCAGGCCTCATGATCGGTCATGCTAAACATTTCAGACAACAAATATTTTAATGATTCATTTACTGTAAAATATAGTCATTATTGTACATATAGGTAGAAACTTAGAAGTTTAATGCTGGTTTTCTCCTGCACCTTGCATCTGATAGAATCAATTACTATTTGTAAAAGGGACGAGAAATGCTACAATAATATATTAGTATTTTGCTTTCACTTTTCAAATGTAGAAATAAATATACAAAGTACAAGGGCTCAGCAGTTTTTAATACTGCATTTCCAAAATTCACTTCTAGTGGAAATTTCTTCACATGTACTGTATCCCTGCACTATTTCATCTAGATATAAAACAGCAGTGAGAGGAGGAATTAATCTTACAGATGTAACCTGACTTCAAAGGAGATTAAGGCCAGTTATTTACACAAGCGTATCCCCCACTGACATGCTAGTCTGTAGTAAATCTGAACCTAAATGTGCATCTGGAAACAAACAACAAGATATGAAAGTCATTATAATTCATAAAAACCTAATAATTCAGATAGACTTTTCTTATACATAGTTTTGTGTATTCTTCTGTAATTATTATATTGGAAGCTACAAATAATTACCTTTAAACATTTTATAAAGTCAAGGCAGAGATGGATTATATATCTGATAATCTACTTTGGATCAAGAAACCAAAGACCTTACTAGTTTCTCACGTAAGCATGTGCAATTTCAGTGAATGCTCTCTATCATATAGAGATTTCATCATGAAAACATATTTAAAAATGCAGAAATGTCCATGTTGCATTCTTGTGTTTCTCTTTTACAATGTTACCCTTTGTCCTTTAGAAACTAGCACTGGTTTTGTACTGTACCATATACAAGTTTAGTTTTATAGAGTTCCTTATTGTTTTGTAATGAATACTAGAAATCAATGACCACAGAAGTCAATAGACCAATGTGCAAATTAGAAAAATTCTCAAGTGTGGTGAAGTTGTCATTTTTAGGTAAAAGTGTGTATTATCAATATAACAATATAAGAAAGAAAGGAAGTCTGCATTGTTCTATCTATAAATAATGTGTTGTACACACCTCTCAGTTTCAGTAAGTTCTTGTAAGTGCATGAGCTTTATTTAATCAAGCCATTTCTGTCCTCAGTTCCCGAATTCCTGAAGAAGAATCTGAGAAGTAGTAAACCCATTCAGGAGGCAGTATAGTCAAACTTTACATGCAGAAAGGATGCTCAGATTAAATAAATACAAAGTGACTCATGGTAGCCATAGAAGAATAAAATTTCATTAAAACCTGTAAAATCTGCACAGTACCTTCCTTCTTCTCCCCACTGACAGAACTGTAAAACCCAGAGTTTCATCACTGTTATGGCTCCTTTGAATTCCACTTCCCACTTACTTCTCCTGCAAATCTGACAGTTTATCCTAATAGCTAGCTCAACAAATTCACTGTCAAGGCCCTGAGTGCACTCCCCTGCCCCAGGAGCTTAACTGGTCACATCCAAGACAAGCTGATGAGATCTGTTTTGAAGAAAGACCTAGAAAAAGCCACAGTGAGGGTTCTTCCCATG